CTTCCAACACTGAAGGGTTCAACATCTTAACATAGGTGGTTGGTCGGTTGGTGTTTTGGTGTGGGTTGCTCCTTTTTTCCAATCATCTATCGTCATTTTTCTGTTTTGTTCTTTGGCACACATCTAAGAACTATTTTGTATTGCAGGTGCCGTAAAATTCTTTTCCATTTTTTAAATGTTGCCTTTCGCTTGCCCTACATGGCATTGCATAGTTACTCTTCATCCAAAGAGCTTTTCTAGTCAAAGAACCTGTACTCTTTCAAATTATTACATTTTATAATCATAATTATAATTGTACTCTGTAATCATAATTATAAAATTTCTCCGTCACTTTGTCATCTAATAGTCTGTTACCAATTATGGTATATTTCTTGGTCAATTTGTAAGTTAATCTATGACCAATTATATCACATTCCTTGGTCGATTTATTTCTTGGTCGTTTTTTTATTTAATCTATGATGAGACCAATTATGACATTTTCCCTTCAGTTTGTTTCATAATCTTTGTTGCCACTGTCCACAGCTGGGGCGTCATGTGGGGCATGAATGGCTTCATCCTTATGTCCAGGGACCAGAACAACAACTGCGGCATTGCCAGCTCTGCCAGCTTCCCCCACACCGCCACCGCATAAGGGGCCGGAACCGACTGTCCATTGGGCTTTCACATCTCTTTTTCAATTAAAAATGTCATCGTAATAATAAAAGGAACGAGTGGGTTACGAGTTTTATAGATGGACACCAAAATTGATGTGAACAGTACGATTGAATTATAGATCTATTGTCTCTTTTAATTTAGCTCATGCAATGTTTCCAATTCCAAACTTAAAAATAAATAATGTCAAATCTAACTCTCTGTTAAAATGTTTAAATGACTTTTTCGATCAAATGTTCTGATTATTACAATTTTTTCATTTTCCCCTGAAACAAATCCATCCAAACATGGTCTTCAAATTCTTGGTTGTTTGGGTAGTAAATGGTATATTAGTTTAGTCATAAAGTTTTAGTCATCATTTAGGGTGTGTGGTTCACCTCATTGATGTACGATATAAGAGTTTGGAATTAAAACAAAACCCACTTTAGTGTGAGAGGTCTGTAAAAATTGTGAGTGCTAGATATAGAATGTATGTGTGCGTTATTTATGTGGAGTAGCACAAATGTTGGGGTAACACACCCTTGCCACCCAAAAAGAAGGCTATTTATAAAGGTTGTTTGTCACGATCATGTGTATATAACCCATTTTTTATTCCATTTTTGAACGTGTCTCCATTGTGTTGTTTGCGTAAATAAATACAAAATTACAGATCAATATTGCTCTCGCTTTTCGTGTTTATAACTATAGTATTATACTCACTGGTTCGAGAATCACATTATTGTGCGAAAGACATAGTGGGTGGTTGGCGGGTGCTGTGGTGTGGTTTTCTAATTCTTTCCCATCAAACATCTATCGTCCTTAATCTTTCATCCTTTTTTGTGTCTCTTATAACACATTTTATTCTTTGGCACTTATATGAGCTTACAGTGTTGCAAGTGCATTAACAAAAAAACTCTTACTAAAACAGCTTACTAAAATAAACAAAGACATACAGTGCATTCTGGTCAGTCGCCAAAGCTTGAAGACGCTTTAAGATATGTGCTTGAGAGTCTGTGTTTATAGCCAGTGCCCACTTTTGTTGCCACAAGTCAGTGCTTTACACCTACATGTATTTCCAAGAACAACATAACATTT